AGAGAGAGAGAGAGAGAGAGAGAGAGAGAGAGCTGGAACTTCCATGTTTGGCTCTCGAATGCAATTGCTTGTCGTAAATCTCGCGGTAAAGTTTGTTGCGCGCCAACCGACCAGGACGTTTCACCAGATGCGATAGATCAGTCTCTTGACCTGCCTTGGTGTAACGGTATGATAACAGGCAAAAGAAATCACTGTCCTGTTGGGGCAGTGGAAATGTATGTTCGTATGTTTTGTTTCTATTTGTCTTGCTTCTTCCGGCAGAACAAGCAACAATCTATTCTTGTCTGAAGATCACAGCGACACATGCATTGAGATTTTAAAAAACTTGGATTTAGTTATGTCAGCTTCTCAACTCTCGTCAGCATCATTCAAGCGTCAGCAAAGTTCCATAATTAAAATGTAACTTCATTCTCTATTGCGAAAAGTTTTCGTGACCGAGAGATAGGATTGGAAACTTTTATAACGATAAATATACAAAACATTATTTTATTATTTACGGCAAATAACCGTAGATTCACTAACAGACAACTGTGATCCTCAGCTCTCTAAATAGAATGGAAAAGATTGTGGCACGTAATATCTACTGTTAGATACATAGTCGCAATATTGGCTACATAGTTTATGGTTTACGGAATGGTTAAAGGTCAAAGATATAACTCGTTGCATTTTTAGAATTATGTAAAGATCTTAATTGATGACGGAAGTAGGTCAATAATATAACTTGTTGCATTTTTACAGCGATGTGGAAGTTCCAAGCGATCACAAAACTAATAATAGCTCTTTCTGAGAGCTATTACTTTATCGAATTAACGTAGATGCCTGCTTCGTGGAATAATCGATTTTTTTACAATATACGAACGTGTAATGTGCATATAAATCAATATATAATGTTTCTTAAAATTTTTATAAATATTCTTGTCACGAAGTTCATTGATAAAGAATATTATCGACGGGGAATAATAATACACGATAGGCATAAAACAGCACGAAATACCCACAGATTAAGATAAAAGAAAGTTGTACAATTCCTGTTGCACAATAGTACAGGTGCACAGGCGTAACGATTTCTCGATATGTATATATCGTTCGCCACGTCGACCACTACGTGTGCCCACTACGAATGGAAAATTTTGTCGGATTGATTATACTAAGAAATCGCGAGCCGCGAGGGTATCGAGTATGGGGCAAATGACGAGGATGGAACGAAAAAGAAAACGGCAGGCGGAGGATATCGAAGTGCAGCGTCGACAAATTCCTGCGCTCAACAAAATGGCCAATCCTATCGTCGTCGTCCTCGCCCCGTTCTATTCCGGGTCTTTGCGACACTTGCCGTGTCTAGACCAACAAAATTCTGTCTGTCTTGTCACCTTGGCCCGCTAGGTTCAAGCACGGATAGACCTTAAAGCTTCCTTCGTTTTCCCGCCCCAACTCGCTCCTTCTTACGCTCGGCTTGATTAAAATATGAATTTGTTATTGATATGAGTTACGTTACGTTATTAGCCGATCGGCTGTTTGCATTCGTTCACGTGCGTTTTAGAAGATTGCACGTGCCACGTAGTGTACAGTCAGTGGTTCAGGAATTGCGAAACGAGCGATACCATTGCGCAAACATTGATGACTTACACCACTTACAAGCTAAGTGATAATTAAATTAAATCCAACACTTTTAAGTAAAACAAGATTGACTATCTCATTATTCGTGACAACTGGTGAGGTACTAAATATGTTATACATGTCTCTGCTCAGGTGCAAGCGGTCATTGGTGGGTTCAGAAATTGCGAAATAGGCGATGCGACACGAAATTTACAGCTCAAATGGAAAAAAAAGAAGAAAAACAAAAAATTTCAACATGTAGAATGCAGTATTTTCTTTGTTTTTTTACTAGATGGGTATCACGTTAATACGTCTGAAAGAAATACATTGTAGGTAGAGTAGTAGTATGTAATAACAAAATTATATGAAGATGTCTCACGCAACGTGTTAATTGTACTTTATCATCTCAAACCGCACATGGTAATATTCGCACTTTAGCGTTGATATTTCCTTAAAATGAAAAATATACTTATACAATTATCGCGGAAATAGAAGGTGGTTATTAAAACTTTGGAAAGTGCATCGTTGCATGTAGGTACGACGAATTTGTTTCCAAGCGCTGCGAACGGATGGAAATGAGAAGTAAAGGAGAGGGGAGAGAAAAAAAAAAGAGGAAGCTGATAGGGGGAGACAGACAGCGAGAAGAGAGGGTGCAGCGAAGGCGCGTGAGAGAACGAAAATTTGATATTCATGAAGCATTTTAAAGTCGTGCCATCCGAGAAATGGGTATAGAATATAGACTGTTAAGCAGGGGTAGACATTTGTGGAAACCTATTTAGATGTGAATCCGTGATTTCGCGCTCTTCGTTCGCAACTTCTTTGCAATCGTTTGGACGTCGAACTTTTACTTAATAAAAGGAGAAAAGGGATATGGAGCGTATTAAAAAGAATTTCTCAATAATTATATTTCTTATAATATTATATAAAAAAGTGTGAAATTCATCGTTAAGTGTATCGTATAATTGTAATTAATGAATAGATATATATATATACATACATATCATCGTAATAATAATGATTACCAATTTATAACATGCAAAATAATTTTTGCCATATATTTGATTCATCTACTTGCATCCATTCGCGAAGTATAACTATAGGTGTTGTGAAACGCGTGCAAGGCAACAACAAAATGTTTCGAAAATGAATATACGATGAGGAATGTAATTCATGAAGGCATATTTATATGTCACTAAAGTGCAGCATGGCATTATTTTATTTTTAAGTTCAATGGAACATGAAAGTCGATGTAAATTTTAATTTAACTTGCAGAATCTTTTAAATAAAAATTGAATAATTATCTACGTAAGTAATTCATTATTTTTAAAATAGTACGATATTCTAAATGCTAATGTAAATACATATTTTTTTTTTTCTATTGTAGGTATTAAAATACAAAAAAATATATAATATCGTTAAAAAATATAATACTTCCGGTATGATCATCAACATTACAATTCTGTAATAAATAGCAGTAGATGTTATTATAGTCTACTGTTCAAATACATTAAATGACCTAGTCAATATTTTAATTGTTGAAAAAACGAAGAATGAACTTCATTATTCAACAACCTCTGTAATTATCGCTAAGCGAAGGTTCAAACTGTTAGAATAAGGTCACGCATTTAATCTCGCGCCGTTTCTCTCGGAAAACCGACGCGGATCGAACTCGAACGGCGAGATTTTTCCATTCACATTCACGACCCCTAGTGGAAACTAGTCTCCGATTTCCACATTCCCTAATTCCGGTCGCGCGACCGTCAGCATATCACTATATAGATATTTCGGAAGAACAATGACACAACTGCAAAGGGGTCATTTTCCAGGAAGAAATATAATAATTTTATTTAATGATTTTGAAAACAAAGCATTATATTTTAATTATTTTTAAGTAATATTAGTTACTTATTATTATCGTAATTAAACCTATATTTATTATCACAAGTCATCATTACAATATTACAATTAAAATTTTACATTTAATTGATATAGGTATTAAAAGGATTAGATGGATGTTTTTCTCTGAGAACGTTAGAGCAGATTATGTTTCATAAAATTTCTTTCTTATATTTCAAATATAATAATTATTATAAGAATAACCTATCGTTATTTTACTTCGATCTGAAGTTAAAAGATTACGTAGTAATTACATTTAGGTACTAGTAAAAAAAATGTTAATTGATTTGTCAATCCAGGCCGGCAACACAATCCGCTAGTTCCTGTTTATTAACACAAAATTGCAGTTGTGTGATTTCTCATCCAACGATATTTCACCGGCGTGCACGGCCGGCTTCCACGTTTCAGTTATGTCGGTGTCGCATAAGAACTGTCATTCTCCCGCGGAAAATCGGTACTGCGGCACCGATTTCGAGGATCGTGGCCGCGCGATAACGCGGGTCACCTCTTATATACCGAGCGGCGTTAAATTGAAATCCCGAGGAAAGAGAGCGGTACACGGCGAAGATCGGTAGGAGACGACGTTGTATGCGCGTTCTGGCACAGGTGGACGGGTGGGGTTAAGCGGAGAGGAGCAACGCGTCCACTGAAAAATTATAATAATCACTTTAGAAATTAATGGTACCTCCGCGAAGGTACGGGAGATCCGTGCCGGGAGTGACAAGGTGGCTTGCCGATGGTGGGGGCCAAGAGAGTAGCGTGCAAATGGCGACTCTACTCTCGCCGGGCCAATCGTTGCACGCGCCGGGGAATCGAGTAAACCTTGGCCACGCCCACCCGTGACGTCACTCGTGTCCTGCGCGTAGAACCACTTCTGAACCACACTCGTCGGACCAGTCACCACTCGGACGACGTATCCAGCGTTATCACGCGTCTTCTTTTTCTCTTTTCTGCCAGATCGTAGTCCGCGAGGCCACGCACACGCGACAAAAGCCACGACACAACGACAAACGATACGTTTTCTCGATCAAGTTCTCCGCGTGGATCTGTGAATCGCGTCGCGAACGAAAATCAGGAAAGGTATCAGAGGTATCGGAGGTATTGGAGTTGGTAGTGAGTTGGTTCCGCGAGCACAGAGCCACTTTTTGGCGGGAACATCTTTTTGTTGAGGGGGGAAAGTGTGTGGCCGGTGACGGTGTTGTCAGTGGATTACGCGAGAGACACGAAATAACGTGAGAACGAGGTTTGACCAGTGATTTTCTTCGAATCGAAATGATAATTGACACAGTGGAGTAATGGTGCGGTGTAATGTCTATAGAGTTCGCGAGGAGTGACTAACCTCAAACGGACACGCAGATCCCGATTGACTGGAAGTAGTTTTAGTTCTCAGTATTTTATTGTCAAGCATTCCGAACCACATGAAAATACTATTCCTAAATTTTCTACTTTCGTCTAATTTCTTAGCTTCGTAAAGTATCATTGAACAGTAAGAATGGCAAGTGGATGTTAGGGTGAAAAATATCGAGGATTTTGTTTTCACGTGGGGTGTTGTTGCTCGTGATCGACGATCGGCGGTCGGGTGGTCTGTCTTCAAATTGTTAGGTGGAGTCGATTGAAAAGGTGGTCACGACGCAACAAACGTTGACGAGTTGTCCAGGGGGTGACGGAGGTGGCGGCGGCAGCGGAGGTGGCGGTGGCAGCGAGAAGACGGTCCCGTATGCGGCTACAACGGGTCCGGTAGAGGAGGTGGAGGCGCAGGAGGTGGAGGTAGAGGTCGACGAGGTTAAGATGGAAGCCGAGGAGCATCTCGCCAGAGAATACGTACAGGAGTTTGTTCTCGATCATCTCGATCCGGCAGTCAAACGAGAGGTTGGTTAATCATTGATACGTTTCACTTGGACCATTCGTTACTCGTTTATTCGTGTCAGTTTGTCAGGCAATTTATTAGATTCATGTAGTATTACATTGTTTGTTGCCTCGCGAGTGTTTTAGGAAAATTTTGGAATTTTAATTTATATGAAATACTGTTTAATTGTTGTTCGCGAAAGTGCGAAATTGCATGAACATTCACGGCCAGTAAGATCAATCCATCACTTCCCGTTCATTCTGTGCATATTTTAGTAATAAGAATAATTCAATTAGACACGCATAGTAACAAGTACAGCCGCAAAAGTTACTTTTTACAGTAGATAGATATCTATATCATATCGCTTTGTTTTTTAAGTAGAAACACTTATAGAATGAATTAATAGAGGTGATCAGTGTATCTTGACTTTTTGCATCGGAAGTATCTACACTTCACTTAAATGCAGAAACACGTGTAGTGATATTGGAAACAGGTTTTTTTGTTGCAAATCTGAGATGATGTAGTTTCGTACGGCTATTCCAAGGAACATTCAAATTAAGTTTTTTAATCCATTTATTTTGTATCTTAATTATATTGATAATTGGAAAATAATTTTCATTAGAAATGTCTGTCAAATCATTGAATCTCTACATTGGTGAGTGTTCATTGAAAAAGTTCATTCGTAAGTTGCTTCGTATTTTTTGTTTCCTTTTTTCTTTCTGTTTTTACTGAACACGAATTAATTCATTTACCATGTTACCGAGAATTTTATTCAGCGACGTTGAGATCGTATGTATAAATAGAGTCACGTGCGTCATTTTATATTATATAAGCTTGAAATTATTACACATATTTATATGCATATTTATATATGAAAAGAAACACGAGACATAATTCCATATAACCACTGGACGGTAAATATTAAATTCTTTGAATCTATTTATATCTGAAAATTGCACGTTGATCCAATGATATAGTTTTTTTTTTTGCAATTTGTTTCAACTCGTTGTCTCTAATAACTGTAATAACTAATTTATTATTGGAAAAAAGAGATCTGTAAAGAAAAAATTTATAAAGGAATATAGATTCGTAAAGGTGTAAATCTGAAGGTGTGAATTATTAAGAAATATTCATTGCTCGAAATTTTAGTTCGTCTATGTTCAAGAATTACGTAACTCCTATGTTATTTAGTGTTACTGTTAATGGACACTTAAATCAATCACATTTAATATATAAGCATCATTCATAATAATCAAAACATTATGTAATGTAATCTGTCTATTTTCGAAAGACGTCAATAATCATAGATAAAACTTAGCTGTATGTAATTTCTTAATTATTGTATTATAATAATACAATGAAACGAATAATATTTAATATTATTTGATGCACCTTCTTTTTTTAACAATTATTGGTTCTATTATCTCAGATTTGTAAGAATTATCAATTCTAAAATTTCAAAACTTCTTAGAATCGAACTGTTACAATTTCTTCATTTCTTTTAAAGCAAATCATACTAATATTAAAGAATTATTTAGGTGGAACAAAGGAAGTTGTTTCACCCTTTCTAAATACTAAATTTATGTTCCTAATTCAATTTTCATATACTCTATTTAACTTTAAACAAATGTAGAAGAATATTCAGATTTATCTAGCTCAGAAATGAAGCGTCGATATTATAAATTTTTTAACGTTCAATTCATATCATTTATAGGAAATATTTTCTTCTACGATTGATAATCGATAACAAAAAAAATCTAACGTTTAGAATTTAACTTCGAAAAAAACGATCAAATAGGATACTTAAGTTCCCTACGAGGAAGAAATTTTTTTCTCATCAAATGAAAACTTTGTCCGACGAATGTCAACAATCTTGGCTGTAGTTATCATAATCCCGTCGTATGTATGTATGTATGTATGTATGTATGTTATTGAATTTTTAGAAATTATTCTGTTGTTTACTCAAGTAATCTTTACATAATATTTCTTGGCTGACTCAAACAGTTCTACCATGTAGGATCATTCGAATCGCTTTTCTCGTTTTTCTCGCTTACTCTTCCCTTGATTATATCAAAGAGATGCCAGTGATGCCTTGTAATGTGCAAAGTTGATCATTCTATGATCCAAGATATTGAAACTCCGACGATTCGACTCGCAATCTCACTTTCTTGTTATCTGATTATTAAGTAAGTACGAAATACACTGCTTAAGAAAGATATATAAATTAATAAAAAACCAATCGTTGTTTGATCATCCAGGTAAGAATCAGCTCACCGATGATGGTGAACGGCAGTGTGGTGCAATTACCTGGTCAGGGTCTGCAAGCGCAAGGTCTGGCCCTGGCGCCTCTGACGCCGCCGGCGCACGAGCTTGAGCAACCCCATCCGCTTTACGGACAGCCGCACATTCAGGTGCAGCACGGCGTCCTGGTGAAGGCACCGCCGGGTGCAGCGTCTCATCTGACCACGCTTTCGCATCCTGGAACGCCGCCGGACACGCCTCCGGTCTCGGCGTCGCCGCCACCGTTGCAACTGCACCGGGGTGACCGCGATTCCCGTGACAGAGGCCTATTCCTGCAACTGCAGCAGCCCAACTCCATCGTGCAAGACGATATGCAAGCTGGTAGCGGTGGCATGGGCTGGCTAACGCAATCCTTGAGGCAGGAGCCGCTTGATCTCAGGCCTCATTGCCCTCAGGAGCAAACGCCGGAGCCTCATCACGAGGCTTGGCCCTCTACACCGATGCATCATCATTTCCAAGACCTGCAACATCTGCAGCGTCATACCAGACACACTGGTGAGTGCAGGTACCTTCAGGGGCAGTTTTGGAACGAGAATAAAAAATGTGGCGCGCAGTGTTTAAAACGTGGGGTAACTCTGGAGATAGATTTTGTTTTGATTGATCCTGTTTTCCTGAATTTTTTTTCTTTTTTTGGTTGTATTTTTTTTTTTTTTTTTTTTTTGTAGTTGAAAAGGTGGAAATCAGAAAGAATTCATGCTAAAAACGTTAGATATCATTCGCTCATGTTAAAAGTATATACTTTAATGGAAATATTCATAGGATTCTTTTTGCAAACATTTTATTCAGATTTTGTTGTTTCGTAAGGTAAAGCATTATATTTCAGCTAGGAATTTTTGACTGGCGTAAGCTACTGGCGCGACGAATTAAAAAATTACAGAATATACAGACTTGCAGTTGTGCTAATGCACGTTTGAGGATCGTATAATAGGTAAATGAAGGACCATCTTTTTGAGAGGACGATTTATTTTACAATGGACTGTAGAACAATTTATCAAATTCCTCTCTCCCGACTACTCGATATCGACTAACAACGATATCAACTAACTTCGTAGTCTGATGATACGGCGATAACTTAATGACACACGAATCGCACGATGTGCATGAAATGAAAGTAATGAAAATCGCCTTAAAGTGACGAAATTATCCTACACTGACGAAAATGCACATCTCCACCTACGAATTTGTTTCATACGAATTTGTTAGCTGGCGCTAAATTGAACAAAAATGGATTTTTTTTTTATTGATCACAAAAATATAAAACTATGAGTTGTAAATGTAAATGTAATATTTAACAATAATCTGGAAAGTACGAATTGGAATAAAATGTTAATCTTAGACGGCAAAGAGAATCCTTTCAATATTGATTATCGATCGTCACTGTTTAATTCACGAAAAATGGCTTTTAACGATGCTAAATGTTAGGGTACTACACATTTAAAGGCAAATTTTCTTTACACGACACGGCATTCGTCGTCAGTTTTATTGCGTTAGCTCGGACATTGAAAGTAGTAGACACTGAAGTTTAGTAACTTTGCAAAGTTACCATTTTATATATCGAGAAACAAACGTAAGAGATATCTCATCTGTGAACGGATGTTGCCTCGCGACATAAATATGTGATCGGCGATATTAGTTTATTAAGGAGGCTCGAGATCGTCTATCATTTAGAAAGAAGAAGACTCGAAGTCGGTACAAATGTTGTTGTAGGTGGATATATCACGGGCCACATAGAATACTATGCGAGTGCGGGAGCAGGCGGCGGGATGCTTCCCGCGGGCGGAAGTGGAATGTCAGGGATGGAAGACAGCATGCAGAGCATGCAGATGCAAAGACCGATGAGCGTTTGTTCAGTGAGTTCTTGCGCTGCTGGTGGCTCGACACCGCCGCACAAAGGCAACGTTCTTTACCCGAATTGCGGGAGTAACAATCCACAGGAAGAACTCATGAACGACGAGCTGCTCATGTCACTTTCCGTACGCGAATTGAACAAACGCCTCCATGGTTGCCCGCGGGAAGAGGTGAGTCAGGTCTTTTACATTCTTAACGACACTTTCGCATAGGTAATGCCTCGCTTTCGTTTCATTCACAATTTTTAGTTTGGCCGATCGTTTGCTCTCTGCGTACTTTTTCAATTTTCCCTTTTTCTTTCTTTCTTTCTTTCTTTTCTTTTTTTTCTCTTTTATACGGTAGAATTTCGATTGAATGACACGGTTTATTCGAGATATTTAATGGAAAATTTGAGATTTTCTTTTTTTATATAAGAGAAACTGGAAAATGAGAATAGAAATTGTTACATTTTTATCGAACAATTTTTCTTTTTGTTCAACCTATTGAATATACTAATTCTTTTCAAACGTTTTTTTTTTTTTTTGTATACTGTTATTGGTAATCGAATTAAAATCGAGGAGTATTCTGTTCTAACAATAAGTTCTTAGATAAAAAACGGCTATAATATCTTGAACTGCTTGGCAAACGACTGTACCACGTAATAAATGATCTCTCACATGAAAACAAAATCATTCGATTATTTAAACAACATGTGTCATGATCAATTCAAATAATCAAAGTTCTACTGTATTCGTATTTCTTTACTGTGGTGTTGATACAACTTTTTTGTGCTTGTTGGTTGTAATGATAATGGATTATTTAACGATAGTGATAAAAACGAATGGACTTGAAAAGAATTTTTTGATAAAATCATAAAATTGATAGGATGTTCGTAGGTAGATAATTTTTGAGTAAAGTGAGCGTGAATTGGTATCTGTGGCTGCAGTAGAATGAACCGTTTATTAGTCAGACGCGTCAGTTATCACTGTACGTGACGGCAGTGTGTTTTTATTTTTTATTAAAAACTGTTTATACAACGATTAAATCAATACAGCGGCTATTAATATGTCGTTTATAGTCTCTTAAAAATTATTATTCATCCTGAGAAGTTTCCTTAGACATTTCCTCTCTGATTCGTAATAAATTTGATTCTATCTCTCTGCAGTGACTTTGGCCAGATGATTTTCTTATTACCAGTGATATTAGACTACTGAAATATTTTAATATATCGTGTTTCCTTTAAAAAAAAAAAAACACAATCTTAGAGTAATTAGATTCGCAACAAGATAGAACAAAATGATTTATCTCCGTTAATATTAAGTAAACCGTATTAAATATTTGAAAATATCTTTCAAATAAGAGAACTACTGAAACTATATTTGCGACAAAGATTACTTTCACTTCCAGCTTAAATTTCACTTTCCAGCTTCGATAAGAATATTCGTCAGAAATATTCAATTTCAATATATCTTTTCGGCATATTTACAGCAGTAATTTCGCTCGTCCGTTTAATTAAAAAAGAAATCGTATCGATGAACGAGAAAATAATAAAGAGACTAAGCAGACCAATACCAATTCACTTCTCGTCAAATTGATATCCATCGAGTTGGTTGGTAAAACGGGTCCTCCTGTTCTGCGAAGGTCGTGCGTCTGAAGCAGAAGCGGCGAACCTTGAAGAACCGCGGTTACGCTCAGAACTGCCGTAGCAAACGGCTGCAGCAACGGCACGACCTCGAGACGACGAACAGAAATCTGCAGAATGAACTTCAGCGAATGAAGATCGAACTGGCTCGAATCCAGCAGGAACGTGATCTTTACAAGCAAAGATGGGATATTCTGAGAACGCGGCAGAGCCATAATCACAATCACAATCATAATCACAATCACAATCACAATCACAATCACAATCATCATCAGCAACAGGCGTCGCAGCAGCAACAGCAGCCGCAATCACAGGCGCAACCGCAGCAGCATCAGTCGCAAAATCAACAGCAGCAGCAACAACCGCAGCAACAACAACAGCCGCCGCCGCCGCCGCCGCAGCAGCAGCAGCAGCAGCAGCAACAACAACAGCAGCAGCATCAACCGGCACCAGCGAGTCCAGAAGTTTATCTGTGACATCGACAGCGCCGAGGAGGAGCTTGCTGGACCTGAACAGAGACATCCGTCGTTTGATCGTCAGGTTCTCGATCGGTGAGTAACGAATATTATTCTCATATTATTTCGTTACATCTATCCTCCGATGGACGAGCAGAAGAAAGAAACGAGTCAAATTTTGGTCAAGATAATATAGATTTCTCAAGAGAATCGTGTACGAGACCTTTCACATTCGAAAATCTAACATTTGATCTTGCACGTTGCACTTTGTATTTTTATATTTTATATGTTATATAAGTGCGTGTGATATATGATATTATAAATACAGATAATATGAGTCGTTATTTTGTTGAATAGTGTCAGTCAGATATAAAGCTGAATATCATATCGAGACATGTATTATCAACTTTCATGTGTGTTGTTCAAATTCTAACGTCTAATCTTATATTGCATTTTTACGTTTAAGCGTTTCCCTGTGAGACTAACAATTCTGACTTATAGCTCCTTTGCTTGTCTATCAGAGATATAATATTATTATTATCATAATTTTTATTGTTGATATTTTTGATTAGAAGAACGGTTATCACTTATTTTTAACGAAATATGATCCATTTGCAATGTATTGACTGTTAAAATTAGATCTCCTTTATTTTTGATACATCTAATACCTTAGATATTCTATATACTTGTATGTATTTTTTCGCTTGTATTATGTAACAAAGTGAAGACAGTATAGAGGACTTAGAGTATTCTGCTGTGACACTTGTCTCCTCTTATATATCTCTTGTATCTCAAAATGATTGTTCGAATAGGATTAAAGCTGTCGTTTAAGATTTTCCATTGGATCAACTTGTAATCCCTCGCGTAAACCCTCGTATCATAACGTACATCTTTT